AAATGATCCTAAAAAACACAATATTAATTTTAAATTGATACTTCAACATTAAAACACAACAAAATAACTTCATAAAACTTAACATGTCATACCTGCAGCACTTCGCACAATCGAGAAACTAAATCAAAAAATTGGTTTTTTTCATAGTAGAAATTGTCACTAGTTTACACATTTAGGACCAAAAGAACCATCTACCACATTAGAAATTGTGTGACTACTCTTCGTAATTTCCAAACCATCATCTAATCATGAGTAATAAAATTATTGACTTTTTTGTTAAAATTATTTTAAAAAATAAGCTTCTACTTCAAGCATTTACACAAGCATCAGTAGAATGTACTAAATAGAAGTACAAACAAGGGGAACAACCATTAAAATTGATAAAAATAACAATAAAAACAATTATTTTATTTTATTTAATTATTTTCTCATGAAAAAACTGAAAATAGTTGAGAATATTAACAACACCTAAATTGATTTGTCTGACACAGTCACTGTGACGGTAGCGTTCGACGAGCTCTGCGACCTCATCCTCATCGAGCGGCGCTCCGAGAACCCGGTTGCGCTCCTCCTCCATTCTCTTCCAGTCAGGTTCAGTCCGAACGGGAGCAGAAACGCCGGTCCATGTCCGGTCAAGTCGGCCCGGTCCAAACGGGGAGAACTTGGGTGATTCACGGAAGCTTATGGGCTCAACGGAAGGGTGGGTTTCCGAATAAGAGTATCTGAAATCGAATGGAAGGTTCGACTGAAAGGGAACTTTTGGGGCTTCGGTTATTTTCGGAGCTCCGTTTTCTGAATTCTTCTTTCTCTTCTTTACTTTGTGGGGCTTCGGAAGATGAGAAAATGGTGGGTCGTATAAGTCGTCGGAAATGAAATGGCTGAAGAAACGACGCTGATGGAGTGGTAAACTACCGATGGATAATGAGACGATGCGGTTCCGCATATCGCGACGTTGAAGGTGGTGAGAGAAGGTTAGAATATATAGACTGAAAATGTTACCATATAACAATATTTACAAACCTTTTAGAAAACAAAATTTAACGTCAGTTATCAGAGTGGCGCCGCGGAAGGGGATCAACCTTAACAACAAAGTGCAGATATACTAAAAAAAACAAACACCTAAACAGGTCACCTTTCTCAATCTAGGAAAGAAAATATTGAGGTGGTTGGTATTTGACTTGGAAGGGGCTATGCTGGTGTTGGGTATTTGGCTGGTTGAGTAGCTTCATCAAGAGCGTCTTGCTCCCATTCTCTCTTCAATCACGTGAGATAGTCTTCTTTGGCCTGCTCCAGTCTCAGCCTTCCACCCTTCCAAAGACACCCATTATACTGCCATGTCAATAGAAAGTTAAAACTAGTCATTGAAAAGACTAATTTTAGCTAATCAGAATTCTTTCTCATTTTATCTTTTTCTCTCCTAAGACCATTACTTGGCTACATGAATCACACTATGTCGCAAACATAATTTCAAACATAATATGGCAAACAGAAACAACCCCCTAATTTCAAACCCACTCCGCTAACTCCTGCAACCGAAAACATAATCAACCCATTAACCCGACCATCTCAGCAAAGAGAAAAAGGGGAACAGAAGCGCACTGAGAGAGTGAGGCTCACGGAGGGTAACTCTGTGGAGGCCGCGACCTAGGTGGTTTGGGGCGGTGGTCTACAATGAATGCGAGGGCTCACGGGAGGCGTGAAGGTGGCCACGCTCGGATTGAAATTGAGGGCCGCGGGAGTGAGGTTTGGGGTGTTGTCAGAGTGAAGGCTCAAGGAGGCGCGGTGAGAGGGAGGAGAGGCGGCTTGCAGAGGTGGGCGATGCCAAGGTTAGATGGCGAGGTGTGATTCGCGGCTGAAGGCACGGATTAGGGCTGGCGGGTGAAGGGAGAAGGGTTTTGGGTGGCCGTGATGATATGGCTTGGCGACGGTGATGGAGTAAGGAGGGGTGGAAGATAAGAATGGAGGATCGGGTATTGGCAGAGATGGGTCATGGTGAAAATGATGGAAGAGTCAGTGGCCGGTGAGGGACTGGGCAATGGAGTGTAGGTGGCTGCGAGAGGGAGTGAGGGCGAGGCGATTGGGGAAGAAGATTGGAGTGTAATTATCATGGCCCAATGAATTCAATATAAACACTTCTCTATCCTTACAATTCAGCCCATAACACCACCAATAATATAAATGTTAGACAAACTATAAATCCTCACAAATTCACAAATAAGTAACTGTTGCAATAGAATAACTGCATTTAGATAGAAAAGTGAATATTCTTTTATTGTCCACGTTGGTGCTTTATATTTGGGAATTCTTTGGGAATAAAAAAATTTTCAATCACATATATCGATCAAAAGGTAAAAAAATAAATCAAAATCAATTATAATATAATATATTTATGTGCAACGTAATTTTTTAAATACAAAGTAAACATACCACAAACAAGGATTGAAATAAAAATGTGGTATGCTGTCACGGATGATATTTATTTGGTCATACGTTATTACATTACTTGTTGCAACAGTATCACCTAATAACCCATATAATATTAATAAATATAATTTTTAAAAATATATTAAATTACACTTTTATCAAATAAACAAACTTATCATATTATCAATATGATTCATTAGCTTTAATATATGCAAGTTCTGCATGGTCAATAGCTGACTATGCACTTCCACTACAACATTGAAATACAAAAATTGATTACATTGCTAATTATACTAAATAAATTGAATGAATCAAATAAATTTGATTATATACTAACCGGTTTGGATTATTAAGGTTAGTGGTGCAAAACGTATACAATTGATACATGTCATCATCCTCACCAATCCCCTTCGCCTTTATCGATGACTTATTCATGTGAATCCCAATTTATTCTTTTAAAATTTTTACCTCACATTCAAGTTCAATGATCCTTTTTTTCATTTTCTTATGTTTTACATCTCCATGTGCGCTGCTCAGATAAAAGTTGTTACAAGTCACACGAGGTACCACTGGAGGAAGATATGTCTACATTCTCATTCTGTGAATGCATCAAAGCTTCTTGCACAACTTTGATTGTCTGATCTTCCACAGACAATGCTCAATCCCATACAATCTACCAAAAAGAAGACTTTATATGTCAGCAACAAAATATAATATAATAAGTCCACATTTTAAAGAAAAATTAGTATATGTTGTACACAATATTTCTTATATTATTTGAAATGAATGCACGTTTTATTTTGGACCTTCGAATGTTCACTTTCAGTCATTCAAGAAAACGCGGAAAACAAATCTTTCGTGGTGGATCGATAGGCAAAGACAAGTGTTCCACTGTCCATATCTATTACACAATACAATGTCATCAGTCACAATAATTTCATACCAAGTAATAAATCAATTATTTGTAAGAATTGTAGCATCATTAGGTACGAAAGTTACCTGTAAGATAGTCACACAACCAGCAACGTACAATTGAGAAACATTCTTTTGCTCGTTTAACTTTGTACTAGCACGATGCAAACTATTAACTAATATACCGTGCACAACATTTCCCTAATTGTAATCATCTAATGCCTCCAAATCATCTAATAAACTAAAAGGAACACTATAAATAGTACGGGATGTGCGAGGAAAGTAAAAAATTGTCCACCCAAGTAAGATATAAAGCCTACAAAAGTCAACCACATATTTATTTTAAAACAATAATCACTAACTGACCATCGAATAATTAATTCTCTTATAACATTGCTAGATATTTGCAATGACTCTTTTATTTGAAAAAGTCATTTAAACGGGGTTTCTTCAATAGCTGCTCGTTGGCGGGTAGTCAACTTTGAATTTATATCAGCTATATACCCTGTCTCAACCTTATGTCTTAATCTTATCTGCACATATAACATGTATAACATATATAACATACATAACATATAACAAATTAAATATTTAGTAAATCACTTTTCATAAAATAATTATACACATACATTTTTCTCGACACAACGGTCTCTTTTTGCAGACATTTTTTTCCTAAACTAATCCTGTTACAAATTATTAAAATTAAATTTACAATGACAAAATACTAAAAAAATAAAATATAAGTACAAACATGTTACACATATAATTTTGCTGAAATTGTGTATTATACAAACGTGGGCGTAAATCTTGGGCGTATTATACAAACTTTCCTATTATAAACTAAGACAGGCAATGCTCTACAATTACTAGAAGCATGTTACACATATAATGTTTGTTCAACTATCTACTGCTAAAAGATATTATGTCAAAACTAACATGGTCTAAACTGCAAGTATCAAGTCAAGAAGCAATAGAAACTCTTAAGTTGCTTGCTTTAAAAGAAAGTTTGTTGGTATGACAATGATAATTTGGGCTTCTACTGGTCTCACATTACTTTCTATACAGATTTGCCTGTAAAATACAAACTTCATACTTCTCTAATTTCAAGTATTCAATTTTTTGGTTTTCACGCTGATTATGTTATTATTTCTTTTGCATATGGGAATTTCATCCGTTGCCGCAGCAGTTTATGCCACAAATTTGGGGAAGAAACAAAAAAATGCTGGAAAATTATTCGTTGTAAGTTTCTAATCTTTGACAAGTTAGATTTTATTTAATAGGAATTATGAGATGATTATATTAAAAAAATTTACCCTACAAAAGGATCAGTAATAAAAAATGTCTATCAAGAAACAGAACAGAGGAGAAGTGATGATGAGGTGTGAAAGGACATTGTTTCTGATGTTAGTATACTTCTTCATTGTAGCATTTCATCAATTAACACTTGTTGGACATTAATATAGTATCACAACTCAAGTAACCTTAAACCCTGAAGAACACTTTCATTACAAACTCAATCAAAGATAAACACAAAAGAAAGCAACAATGGAAACTCAATCAAAGATAAATAGAAAAGAAAGCAACAATGGAGTAACAAGAACACTGATCGCAGGAGTCGCTCGAGCGAGAGACAGTGATGTTCAGTGAGACACAGGTCGAACGAGACAAAGGTCCAGCGAGAGGAAGACAAGTGAGAGGAAGGGAATCCTAGGTCAAGCAAGGTCGAGTGAGAGGAAGGGACTGTCAACATATATCTCACTTTTTACAAATCCATCCCTCCATTTTGATAATATTGCATCTTTGACTCTTATAATTTACTAATCAAATCCTAATTTTCAATCAATTTACGTTTTCTCCTGTTGTCAAACGGACGTTTTTTCCTGGTTGTCAAAATATAGTTTTTGATATTAAAATAAACAACAAAAGATATAGTTTAGAAGAAAAAAATTAAATATAATAATTCTTGCAAATGGTTTTAGTAATATTCTCTTACAATTTTTTTTACTAATGTTATATCTAATAAAATATTTTTTTTAAGTATGGTTTTTATATAAATCATAAATAAAATTTAAAGTTACTTTATATAATATAAATTTATTTATTTATAATAATTATTATATAAATATATTATGAATGAAACATATTAGTTTTCAAAATATAAAAAATATTATTATATATTTTGTTAATTAAAATAACAAGTTAAAAAAATTTGAGATTAAAATGAAGAAACTATGTACGGATTATATAAAAAAGATTGAATTACAAATCTTATTCTTCATTAAATATTTAACCATAATACAAATTTCATTCTTTATCAAATATTTATTTCATTATGGTTGGATTTAGTTATCAATTATATGTTCTAAATTAGTCAAATTTATTCTATTTTAAAAACATTTATTTTATTATGATTAGATTTGATTACTAATTATGTGTCTCAGTCTAAATTAGTCGAATTCATTCTATTTTAAAAAAGGTAAGTCAGGTTAGATATAAATTTTGTAGTCTTTTGGAAAGCAATTTCACTTATTTATCAACTCATTTCATTAAACTTATTATTCCTGCTTTAATTACGGTCGGATCGAGTTGAAAGTTTGACACAATAAATTTGCGATGACATAAAGTTATTTGTTTTAACCGTCAGATTGTCAAACAAGATTTTTTAGATCACGGTTTTAATCTTATTATACTTTTATATGTAAATTATTGTTGTCATTTTCAGTTGTTATTCTTCCCATATTCTTGTAAATTTAAGGAAATTATTTCTCCAAGATAATTTGGCAGTGCTGTTTTGTGTGTCACTTGTTTCAATCTCCATGTACTGTATAACCAATTAACAGTGAATTAATTAAGATTATCTTATTGAATATTAATGAATTAATTTAATAGGTTAGATTTTATAATAATAAAATTTATCTATAAATATTTTAAATATCTTCAATTTTAAATAAGATTGCATAGTACAATATCTTATAAACATTTATTATATTTATTATTAAATTTATATTCTTAAATTAAATTTACAATTAAATAATATTAGACCAGTATTTTTACATGAAAGTCGAGATATAATGATGAGTTATGATTAAGGTTTAATAAATATTATTATCTACTTTAATTTATTATCTAATTGATAATTTATCAATTTAAATTAATAATAAGAAAAATGACTTGACATAAAATAAACTATATTTTATTATAAATTAGTACCACCGAGTCTTTAAACAATCGACGGTGGTGAAATTATAAAAATGTTAACGTGAGACATCCATAAAATATATAAAGTATAATTTTGTAGGTAATTATTAATTTTTTAACTTATCTAAACTTTTGGATTAATATATTATATACAAAATGAAACTTTTAGATATTTAACCATTTTATACTAATCATATAAGTTTATATATTAGAAGAACATTAAATAATAATCTTAATAATCTTAGCCTGGTGAATTAAAAGCTCTTAAATTAATATCAAAATATTTTACATCAACCATGAATGAAAACATAGAAAACAATTACAATAGGATTTCTTCTTCTAAAGGTGAATTAAGAGCTCTTAAATTAATATCAAAACATTATGATTTAAAATTTAGAATTTTCACATGTAAGAAGATACAAGATTATTTATATATTATATTATTTTATAAATTTAACAAAATAAATTATTTTTTATTAATTATTGTATCCTTTTATAAATTTGACAAAATAAATTATTTTTTATTAATGATCTGATGATTAAATTTGGCATATTAGTATTATATGAATTATTAGGGATACAATGACACGCGTATATATTATTTTCAAATAAAGATTTTGAGAGGGGATAATTAATTTAACCATGTTTTCTTCTCTCTCACCAACTTGTTTCTATCTTTTTAATAAACTCAGTATCATTATCAGATGGATATTTTAGCTCAGTTTTGAATAAATGCATTTGATAAAAAGTCATGGGAAGAATATGAAATTTACTTGTGTTCTCAAGGCTACAAAGACTACAGAAGTAGTCAGCATATACCATAAAAAAGGTAGAAGTTGTTTTTGACCAAGATTTGTCAATGTCATTGTTTGGATCATTTTTTTTTTCTAAAGCTCAAACCAATATTCCATGTGATCTGCAATGGTAAAATTACATCATTTACAACAGAAAATTATGTTTCTTTTCATCTCATTTTTTTTCTTTTCCTTCATCTGTCAAGTCAGTTTTCCATTTCATGCAATCCGATATACCAATGCTGCAGCATCAATGAACAGTGATGCAGCATTTTGATCACCTTTCAACTCCTTATGCATTTTCTTCTATTGAAGTCTTGGTCATGTTTATTTATTTTCTGATCCAGATATAACTGATGAGGCTTTCAATTGTTCCAATTTCTTTCGAAGATAGGCTTGTTTGAGTTTCTCACGATGAGCAGCCACCTGCTCCTGCCTTCGGAGTTTAATTTCCGAAGCCTTCTCTCTGGCTCGATTAACTTCTTCATGAACTTCCCTACAAATCAAAATCAATTACACGATTAGATTAACCAGACTACACACCATATTAGTTAGATAATTAATCCAGAAAAATCATGAAAATATTAAAACATAGCTAAGTCTACCTCCCCTCACCCTCAAAATTTTAAAGCAAAATAAAATATATAATATCTTATTCCTTTATAGCCGCATGTCTATCTCAAAAAGACCAAATGGATCGTCTTTGTACTCTATTTATTCAACCACCTCAACCTAGGACGAATCATTACTTACACTAATACTGGTAGCACTACATCATCATAATATTCTTTCCTCAACATAGTTTAATCCAATTAGTGAACCTGGATCATGGCCAGTCTACAACTCACCCAGCCCAAGCCGTACGGTATAGCGGGAAGTGGGATGACCACCACTTTAAATGTTATGTTATAATACAAAGTAAACAGTATATACACTATATAAACACTAAAAAAAAACAAATATATTACCAAAAATTAAGGAAATTCATGATAAATAATAAGTCAGTTAAACACATATCACCATCAATACAGGAGCAATAAGAACAAAAGTAATAAGGTCAGGTATTGAAAGATGATGGTTAAATTAAGAAAAAAAGGGTTATTAATTGTGACGGAACAAGAGTCAAGTAAAAGATAATTTTTTAGGAGAATATTTTACCCCAAAAAGGGAACAACAATGGTGTTCCAGGATTAAACTGGGGTTTTGGAGGCTATATCATGGTAGCGCCACTACAGCGAGTGAAAATTAGATACTGCGGCAGCAGTGTCACTGTTGAAAACAACTCCACTATTTAAATCCAATAGTAAACCAGGGTTGTTCAACTCCACTACTCTGCTATAGCACCATTGTTGAACACTATTGACAACTATGACTGATATAACTGCTGCCAAGAGCAAAACTGAATCAATAAGGCTGCAGAGAATTTTTACAAGAAACACCCAGCATAAAATTTTTGTTTCAAAGTAACATAATTTGTTGGCTACCCAGAGAAACAAATTGGTTCATGAGTACCAATTTTGGTTCACTCCCATTACGTTTCAAATTGTGAAAAAAGTTAAAACAAGTACAGAAATGGAGATAAAGTATACAGGGGACAGTACCAAAGGTAGCGATGAGATGGGAAATCATTAACCAGTGAAGGTTGGATTCAACAAAGACAAAATAAGAAGCAGAGACTGAGACTGAGACTGAGGAACTAACTGGACTCTGGAGGAAGACAGAACATGTAACGGATGTCTATTGCCTAGTGAGAACACCCAATTGCACTATGCAAATGACGGAATAGGATGATTGTGAATGAAAGTAATAGATATTAAATTTTTTTCATAGTAGTGCTTTAAATCCTGCATTGCTGCATGCAGTGACTGGCCCGAAAGCACTATGGCGGACAACAGGATAACTGTTATTTGGAATTTTTTTTATATCGTAAATTCTCAAAAATGATACAAATTATGCAAATATTGATATTCATAATTAACAAAAATAAAAAAAGTCATATGTAGCTTGAACGAAACATACAAGTAAATACCAATCATCAATTATTATCCAAGTCATCTTTATCATTTACAGCTATATAATTCATTTTCGGAAATTGAAATCTCAATAGTACCCAAAAAGCCCCTAATTGTCTATGTTCAGAGAGCTCCTCTGCATCAACATATAGTGCCACTACAGCAGTTATCATATCAGCACAGTATTTGGTCTGTTAGGCCACTACACTAAACCACTCCCCTACAGGAGCCCATGTAAGGGGCAGGGGCTGCTCTGCTATGCCACTATAACATGTTATTTAAAAATGTGCTTATAACACTGTTGTAGTTTTCTTATTCTAGTTTGATGGAAGTGAGAATGCAAGAGAAATAATCTCCACAAGGCAAACCCATACAATGGAATCCAAAAAATAGAAAACTGAAAGCTGATATATATAGCTTCTCGTTGCAAAAGGGTATCAAATCAAACGTGAAAACTCACTGACACACCATGCACCCAAACATGCAGTAAATACATCCCTTGTATAGTGAATACTTCTCCAAGTGACCTACCATCTACTGGAGAGAATTAGGAACCCGTTGACTGCTGTTTCCCTTTCACACCCCTAATTCTAACAGTACCTATCATCAAAGAGCTTCACATTGAATCCATCCAAACTATCTAGTATCTGTTTGAACAAGTTTTCCCATAAAAGAGAAAAATAGAAAAAATAAGATGAATTTCTCTGTAAGTTAAAATTAGCTTATGCATAAACTAAATTGTGGAAGTTCTCTCAAATAACTTCTCAAAGTTCCTATGTTTAACCTGTACATAAACTAATTTTAGCTAATAAAAAAGTTCAGCTCAGTTCATCTTTTTTTCTTATTATTCTCTCCTAAAATTGTTTAGAGAAAAACTTGTCCAAACATACCCTTAGTCTAAGAACATAGCCATTCAATCACAAAATGTAATAGAAAAACATAAACCACATACCTAATATTGCGCTTATAATCAGCACTGTCAAAATCTCCAACCGTTCGCCCAGGCCCAACAGCATTCAAGTTAAACTGCAAGGAAGCGTCACCATCATCGTCATCCTTAACAGCACCATCAACATTTTCTAGCAACACATCACGGCCTGGTGGCGGCAGCGGCGGCGGCAACTCATCATGCTCAATGCTCTTACGGAAAAAGTCCACACAATACTTCTCTTGATCCTCTTCGTCAGACAACTCTCCCTTCACCAACTTCTCATACAACTCAGCCTTCCTCTCCAGCGCCACATAGCTCGTCGTTCCATCGCGCACTGCTTTCAACTCCAGCTTGTCCCTGACACCAAAATCACCATAATTTTTAAATAATTATCAAATCACAGAATAAAAAATGAAGAGAGGTAATGCAATGATATGATACTTGTGAGCGCGCGCATCAACGCCGCGATTTTTGACAGATAATGGGTCTTTGGGAGCGATTTTGCTCTTGGCCCGTTGATACTCGACATCGGGACCTGCCAATTCCCGTGACTTTCTGGAATCTTCCTGAGACTTGTAGAGTTCGGCCTTCAATTCCACGATTGAAGAGGCGCCAACGCCCGCTATGGCTCGGTGCTTCTTCGGCATTATCGACGATTCCGTTAGCCATCCCAGTGATTCCGTCACCACCCTCTTCTTCACCGTCCCCTCTTCACCCGCCATGGTTTTTTTTTTTTTGCCACAAATTTTATCGTTAGGTTTGTGCGGGTTTGCTTTTGTTTCTGATTAATTCCAGAGAAAGTTATTATTTTTAAAGTAGCATTTGAAACTTTTGTGTTGCAAATTTTAATTTTGATACAGCATCCGTACACGTCATTTAAATATAAACAATGCCAACATAATAATAATAATAATAAATATAACTAATCATTAATTAAGTAGGATTATCTTTAATAGAAAATACATGTATTCTATAAAAAATATATAATTTTATCTTTATATGTTTTTATATTTTAATTTCTTATTATTGCATGCCTGGTAAAATATTAATAAATAATTTTCTAATTTATTAAGTAATATCCTTCAACTTTATTATTATTATTATTATTAAATTGACTCAGATATCAAGAGCTTTTTTAATTGATTAAACAGTGTTTATATTACCATGATAAAAAAATATTATTATTTAACCATAAATTATCATACGAATCCAATATTTTATAATAATAATTTTTCTAAACTAAATTGTCTTCAAAATTAATATAATTTTAATTGATTAATAATATAAAAAAGTATATTAACATCGTAGAAAATTAGGTTTATTTTGATTCTGTAACAAAATAAATTTATTTTCTCCCGATATTGAAATACTCTGAAAAAAGAAGGATTTGAAAAATATTCAACCAGATAAAGTAAATTAAATTAAATTTAATATACTTGTAACAATATTTAAAGTAAAGCTTTTAAATAATTCAAAAATGTTAAACAATATATAAAACTATTTTAGCAAGCTTTCTAAGACAAATTTATTAAGTGAAATTTATATAATTTCCATTAAAAACATGAATCTCACCCATCCATTTGATGAATCACTGTTAAACTACAAGATGCACCTGAACTTCCACACTACTAAAGAAGGAAAAAATTCTAAGAGGGTTTGAGAAAAAATCCAGCTCACAGAAAGATCCATGTCTTGTTAATTTATTTCCCTTGAAACTTTGTGACTACCACAAGAGAACAACCACTCAAGATGATGCAGGAGAAGGAGAATCAAGGATTGATCACATTTATAAACTATCTATACAAGAACCTTTATCTTCTTTACATGATAATGAATGAAAAAATAACTAATACATCTTGGGACCCAAAGAAAAGAAAAAGAGAAAAGAAATACCAAAAAACACATAAAAAATCAAAATGAAGAACAAACAAAGATGCAATTCCCTAAATGGTTTCAATGTTATTCTCTTGTTTCATAATTGAAGTTACTCCAATGCTGATTCAAAAATAACATCAAAAGCACCTAAAAAACCACATCTAAATTTGGCCTCAAAATGAATGAGTGATACCCAGTTAGCTTGTAGTGGTGTTAGATGAGATTTTAACCATGATCGAAATAGGAATGTTGACCACATGACCTTGATTACCAAACAGACCAATTCTCCCAAAGCTGGCAACAGAGCTGTTAACGGTTGCATTCAATAACACAGACAAGACTTGGCTCTCACCACTGCCTATACAGAAGTGAGTTGGAGACACTTTCACTGAAACCCCAGAAGGAGCAGTCCAACCAACACTGTATGATTCATTTTGGGCAATGTTTTTGACTGTCCTCTGCACTATTCTAGATTGGTTCAGCTTTGACATAGTGATTGAGGGCAGGTTCAGATCAGGACCATAAACAGTGGAATTATAGAGTCCACAATTTTGACCAGTGTAGTTTAGCACCACAGGAAATGAACCATTGATACCACATAGAAATGACATATAATCATCATAACCTGCAAAGAAACATAAATATAACACTTCCACATTCAGAAACCAGCTTCATTAATCATTAGTACCAGTTTATACAAACTGGATAAAGTTGAAAATTAAGTACAAATGCAAACAGGTGAGCTTTGTAGCTCATACTATGTACTTTTGGAAATTGGAAAAAGTAAATAAATCTATGTAACCTAAGTTCTTGCTACTGAAAATCTTTTAGTTTACTTAGGTATGTTGTATTTATAGACCCTAGTGTTAGTTTGCATAAGATTCAAGGTTCAAATCTTGTTGCTACCATTGTACCCAAAAAATAAATTTGTGCTGTATTTAACCGCTTAGAATATAATCACTTCTCAAATAAGGATTTTTTTTTCCAATAGTGATGACTAAAGTGAGATTAATTATTTGTTAGTTTCAACTTTAAACCAATAAATGAAAATCAAAATTGTCATTTTCATAGAAAGGAGATGTAAAATTTTCAAAAGATTAACTACATTGACCTGTCCTATTCAGCCATATCATGTCTAGCATGAACCAGAATCATAGCTGAATTTTCATGCCATTTTTTATACTGTGAAACATGAGAATTTTAATTGAACATAATGATTGAAACTTGAAATGCTTAAGTGACTTACCGGAATGAAAAATCAAACCCGGATTCAGTGCTCCACTTGCATTCACGAAACCACTTCCCATGTCAAAAGGAGTTGCTGGAGATTCGTTCAGTTCAGGAGAGGGATATGATCGCTGAGCCATTATTGCCCCACCACTCTTGTCATACAGAGAAGCTGTAGTGGAAAGTGCAGATCCAATGGCTGCAGGACTGAAATTGGGGAACTTTTGCCTAATTAGTGCAGCAAGACCAGCAACATGAGGAGCAGCCATGCTTGTGCCAGACATCAATGCAAAATTTTCACCTGTTGGCAATGCAGATATGAGAATTGCATTTGACATTATGAACATGGATTGAAAACAAAAGAAAAAACATATCATAGATTATTACTTATTAAGATGTTGTGTTTAACATATGAAAAGAACTCCTTAAATTACTGCAAAACTTATGAGTTTACAAACCTAGGAATTCAGCGGATTCGGTGCCAACAGAACTCCAAGCAGCCCATATAAAACTTCCAGGAGCTAACAAGTTGGGTTTCAAAATGTCTGCTTCATGAGGAAAACTGTCCTCTGGATCTGGTCCTCTGGCAGAGTAATACATAACCTTGGGGGCAACACTGCCATAGTTCGCCTTTAGTCCGCCACATATCCTTGCAACAGCCCCAAATTTAACTATCTTCTTTGAAACTGCATCCATTTCCAACGAAGAATTGTAGTATTGCATTAAAATCTGACAAGGTCAAAATAAAAGAGGAACTGTCAGCGGATCATTCTTCATGCATAGTAAGACAGAGACACAGGATACCTAACATATTAGCCAAACCAAACTCATGCATTGGTTTTACAAAGACACCAGTATGCTTTAAGTAAATAAAGACTGCATCAAAACATGACATATACTTTAAAATGCAAGCTTAAAAAATGAACAACACACATGAGCATGACATGTAGGAATTGCACACATTTGAAACAGTCGTCAACTATGTGTCATATCCATATCAGACACATTCATGTCAGACTTTTTAAATACTTCTTTGGCAGTATATTATAATTTTTTTATTTAATCAACTTTTATTCCAATACAAGTGAGAATGACATTAGATAAATTATAGCATTTTAGTATGGATATAAGGACTCATGCTCTCTTTTTTTAAGATTTGTGTTTAATATGAGACACATTCATTTTATACTGATATTTATGTCATATTTTAGCCGAATGTTGTGTCCAAGAACAAGTTTGAAATTCATGGCATATCATCTCCATTTCCCATTTTCTCTCCATGCTTCTCAGATAGTCACGAGTGTACAAGGTTGAGGAGGGAAAGGAATAACATGGCACCTTTGAATCATTGGCAGAACCAATTATGACGCCTGGCATTTTCATTGGAACAGGGTTAAGCTGAAAACCAATCACATAGGGATCCATATAGAAGACAACACCAGCTGCACTAAGATTTTTGGCTGTTTCTGAGGCCCGTTTGATGGTGGAGAGTCCCAGCACAAATCGAATTGAATAGCTGCACATCAAGAGGTTTCCCTTGATCAAATCCTTGTCAAACTTATTTGCGTCTTGGCACTCACCAACATACATATCATCAGCAACCGATGTGTCGTTGCTCAATGCATGATGTGCATGAATCAGTTTATAAAGTTTGCTTTCATCTGTGCCAGCTGAGACAAATAATAATAATAAAGGAATCAGTTAGTGTAAAATAAAATCTTATATCTTTAACAAGGAATAGAGAAACAGAAGCTTACGTGCAAGACCAACACCAGGTATAGTCACATTATTGCCTAGAAATATGGAGTTGCTATAAACTCGGTCATGAGAGGCGGCACCAACAGTAAAGATCCATGGACTGAAGGAGAACATGCTTGTTAGTGATGGTCCAGTATTTCCTGCCGCTTGCACAACAAAAATACCGGCCTTCACAGCCGACAGCAAAGCCATGTCTATCGGATTGAAGAAAGTTGCAACACCGGGAGGACGTCTGTTAGGAGTAATGGACAAGCTTATTATGTCAACCCCATCCTGAGCTGCCTGCAACATCATATGATTAGTCTTAGAGGAAAAGCAAATTGAATGCAATTTTAGATAAATAGATAGTAAAGACAACAAAAGTGGATATCATTATTACTGACAATAACTCTTGTCGCACAGAAATTTGAAAGGCATGTCTTGCATTGACATTAGACAAACTAAAATTGAAAATAAAATTCTAAGAGATGAAATAAAAATCCTAAGAGTGTGAAATGTGCTCTTCACCACTGCGGAGGTAGGAGGCAAACGGAATATGACTCCAATAAACAAGCCCATCAAAAATACATTACAGTTACATGCTTTATTAGGGAATTGCACTATCATGTACAAACATATTCCAGGGGAAACAAAGACAATGAGATGTAAAACTAACTTGCTCAAATAAAATTACCTTATAACTGACATGTAAATTATTTGCACACCAGTGTATAAGTTGTCTAAATAAATTAAAAATGTACCTGGTCAATTGCTGCAACTACATCTGCAGCAAATCCCCCAAAGCTCTTGTATAATGCCTTGTAAACAGCAATGCTGAAAATGATTGAAATTCAACACAAGCATAAATTATTTTTAGAGAAAAGGAAACTAATTAAGATTAAATGAAATAATTAAAAAAATACATAAATAACACAGTGTGCTTGACCAGACACAATTTCTATAATTTTTTACGAACTTCCAAAGATAACCAATTAGAAAGGCCTATCGGTTTGCAGTTGTCAGAAAAAAAAAGTTATTTGGAGTTGAATACATTCTATGGGATAAGAGAATGGCACAATGTAGCGCAATTGAGGGAAGCATAAGTTAATGTAGAGGGAGGAAGAGAAATGGGAGAAGGTCACATCACATCCTTCAACAAATACATATTTTGGTTTCAGAAATTTGGCTCTATAATTGAAGGAACTTTGCTTCAGTTTTTCAGGTGTCAAAACAGTTTTCAGATGAAAAATTTGCTATCTATTATGAAAATCACAATGAAAATCCAATTCATATATTTGCAATGTTCTAGAGCAAACTGGATTTTATTTTGACTAAGGACATATACTTCTAAGAAATTCATGCAAACTCCAAGTTTAAAATAAGGAACCAGCACTCCTGACATGTAATCAACAATTAAAGGCCTAGCACTCAAACCACAGTAAAATATGAAGTTATTGATGTACTTAGCCTATGTATGCAGACAAAGCACCAACAAGAATGCTTACCACTAGATGAGCCATGCTACAAATAATCAGCTTCAGCCCAAGGTTAATCACTTTTATGAAACTGACATGTGTTCCTTACTGAAATTTCTATTTGTTTAGCTCTAACTGGATTCCATTTCATCATCATCAAATTAGATTTCCTTTGTTTCAACCATTAAATTGAAGCCCCCACAGTATTTCTTCTTTCTTGCAAGGGATGTTTTTAACATTCTTATTGTAAATGTTAGAGATATAATATAGAATCATTCACGTTTCTGACATTATATCAAAGCCTGTATGACCAAGTGGTAAATCACTTTTGCCCCCATCTTCTAATAAATTCAGTACAAGATTAGTAGGCCTACGCATGATTCACAACTCAAGCCCAAAGAGCTCAAGTCAGGGGGCACACAATAATTCTAGTCACATCAGCTGGGAATATGACCAAATATTCCTTATAAGGTTTGGTAATCCTTATTTCTTCAGCTAACTTTGTGGTCGCGATAGGCCCCATGGATTACTCCATGGCATTTTTCTATATATTCAAAATTGTTTAGCAGCAATTTCAGAAATGAAAGTCAGAAAAAATCATCAGAAGATTGTATGAGAATAACTATAGATTTCACCTCTATTACCCACTTTCAAGTTTAAGTAATTTTGGACCAAAAGCACACAAGCCAAGTCAATGCGAAAAATTAATGTTTTTAAAACCGGACTAATCATTAAACCAATAAAGATATAGGTTTAAGGTTTAAAGATTTAACTAGGGTTCAACCAGTAACCATTAGGATCGTCATATGTTACCGTGATCATTATAAAAATAAAATTTAAAAAAGAGTGAAAGATTGATAGTCGTGAGAGTAAAATAAAAATACACAAAACAACTATTGTTTATATGTAATTCATGTGAGATAAAGGAAAAAGAATTGAAAAATATTATATCATTTAAAATAAATTAAAGAAAATTGTCCTTTAAAAAAATTACCAAAATTAGTTGGATCAAAAAATGCAACCGATTTTACTAGTTTAATACCAATTTAATTGAATTCCAAATTTTTGGGAATCAGAACCATGCACAACTCCGTAACATCATGCATATCTATAGATCCAACAATACATTACTAAAAGTGTAAAAATAATGTGACACAAAAATAAAATAAAATTATTAAAGACATAGTTCCAGATTATTTACTGTGAACGAGGAGCCATCCCACTAGCATTCCCAAAGTGATGTCCAGCAACAATCACTGGAATCCCATGGTTTCCTGCTGCAACTGCTGCTGTATGCCTGTGTATTTTACTTACATCAGAATGGGTATTTAGTTTAAAGATAAGTAAAGATATCTAATTATGTGATTAAAAGCAATTTTGGGAACAGTCCAGTATGAGGACATAAGCTCATTTTCAAGTAATATTTTTAAAATCATTCAGGCTATTGCAATTCCATTTTCCAGAGCATGCTCAACACTACAAAGAACATGAGAATACACATCATTGTAAGGTTCTGATAGATAGATAGGTAGATAGCTATAAGATGGACATAACTCATCAATGTTGAAAGAGAGAGAAAACTTCAGAACCAAATTAAGGTACAGTAAAAAAAAATGATTGATAACATGTGGTAATAGTAGACCAGTAGTTGTAGACAAAGACCAACAGCTTAGCCTTTGTCATCATGGACTGGTAAAGCAGATGCTAACAAACAAATCATATATCCAATTATGTATCCAATTAGTAGTTGGGTTGGGTGAAATTGTGTGTATGAATGGACCATGTATATACAAGAACCAAACATAACACCCATAGGGAAAAGCCAAGAACTCACGTGCCATGGCCATCGCCATCGAAGGGAGAAGCATAGTCCTGAGTTGAATTAAATATTCCCCTGGTTATGGCAGAAGCTGCAAAGTGACGGGCCCCAACAAGCTTCCTATTGCAAGAACCAGATGGAAAGTCGCGAGTAACCTCACAGATGCCAGAAAAATGAGGAGGAACAGGATATGGATGATCAGATTTACTATCACCAAAACTAGGATGTGTTGGATCTATGCCAGTGTCAACAAACCCAATAACAACACCTTCTCCAGCAGCTTCAAACCCACCATCTTGAAACCATGCTCCCTGTGGCAGACCCAAAAACTGTGGCGTATGTGTAGTCGCTTTTCTTACAGAAAAATCCAAAATCACATTGGACACTAAACTGCTCCTTGATAGTTTCTCTGCCTTCATGATTCAGTAATATCAATCAACAGCTAAGAATGTGTTCACTTACAGTAAATTAATCCAAAAAAAAAAAGTATTTTTTTAAACATGGAGGAGCACCGACAGATGAAACCAAATCACCAATAGAAAGAAACAACTATGCAAGCACATAAATGTAACAGGTTTTTTTTTTTTTTTTTTTTTTTTGCATAAGGGCACATAATAAGGGCATAATCATGATGATGAAAACTAATATCATACCTGTTTCTGGGTAACCAGTACAGCGAATCCATTTATCAGATAATGATAGCTATAGACCTTCAGATATTTCTCTCCGTTTAACACTTTCTTCAACAGAGAATCATGAACTCGGGAAATGTATGAGCCATATCTCTTATCCGTTTTCGTAATATTGTCATACCTTCAAAACAAGAGGATAATAAAATGAACAGGACCATGTCTGTCAAATTAATGCACCATATTTCACAAACAATCTGAAAACTCTCAAAATTGGAAGAATAGAAAAAGAAAAGATGAAACTGAGAATTGGGAACATCATTAACAAATATATAATGACACGTTTCAAACAAACAACCTATCATCTCTAGATGATAAGTAATCATTTAACCAAACACTTTTCATCTTACCAAAAAAACACAGCTTCCACAAGAAGCCTAAATGATTTTGGGACCAAATAAAGAAAGGGAAAAGTTAAACATCTATGACTTCAAAAATACAGCACATGAGCACACCATCCAACACCACTCAAAATACACGAAAAGAAATAAGCAATTTTCTTTCCATAAAACAACAAAGAAAAGGAAGACACCAATCAGCACCCCCAGCCCCACAGATTCAAACCAAGCTGGTGTTCAGGTGAGGTGAGAAGATACCTTCTTGGTTTGTTAAATTGAGTTCTCCCAGGAGCAGGAGCAGCATCTTTGAAGCCATTAACCTCTCTTCTCAGCTCAGCATAGTAATGAGAAACAGGAGTATGTCTCAGGGTAACAACATACACAGCAGTATCATCGTCTGAAACACCTTGACACAAACAAGGTAAAACCACCCCCAGGCAAAACACCACCACCACCACCAAATGTGCCACATAAATGTTCCCCATAAGGATTTCTTGGGAAACAAAAGCACAAAAGCTGAAGACCCAGATGGATCCAAAACCACCGTAGCAAAAATGAACAACAATTACTCACCAACCGGCTTGCTCCATTCTCAAGCTCATGACTTTACCTTCTGCGTTTTCAGTTCAGTTGAAGGAAATGAGACACCCCAGGTGAGAGACAGTGATAAAGCAAGGACCTTTGTGGTGAGTGAGGAACCCTTTTGGTGTGGGAGAGAGCGTTGCAGTTTTAATAGCTGGAGTAAGAGAATCTGCAAGCAAAAGCCTTCTTCTTGGGGTGTGTGAATTTGAACGTTTAGTTTATTCAAAGAAAAATAAAGGGAAAAGAAAATAGGTATCTTGATGGGAATAGAATGGGAAAATGAACGTTTTATTTGGTTTTATTCGGTTTTGGACATTTCCTTTCAGGTCGTTGGCTTTCAACCTGTGTGAACATTGGAGTTTTCCTGTGACTTGGTAATGACAACAACATTGTACTTTTTTTTTTCTTCTTTTACTTATATTTTATTTTACTTTGATGTCTTTTCTTCCTTCTTTTATTTTTTAAGATTTTTAAAATACACTTTTGATGATATAAACAATTAGTTATAAAAAAAAATTAATATATATTTTATCATCTATTATCATCATGAGAATTATTATTTTAATTTGTTTATACATTTATTGTCAATTTTTTCAATTCTTGCAAATTTTATGCAATCTTGAAAAATAAAACATTTATATTTCCTACGATAAGGGTGTATAAATTAATAATACTGAAAAAAAAATTCGTCAATCTTATTTTGGGTAAGTACGTAGTACTCTTGTACCTTTTTGCTTTATACACCTAAAGTGTCTTGCTTTCTCATTTTATTATATTTTATGTCACAGAGGAAGGTGAAATTAATTACAGGGATAGTTATCAAATTTTGCTTCTTAAAAATAAATAAATAATATATATATATATATATATATATATATATATATATATATATATATATTCACAAATGGTTATGGACCGAATGAGTAGTTGAATATTTTTTTAACCACTTTAATATTGTAAGTACTATATTATAAATGATTAGGAAAGAGAATAACTTGCTTTGCTAAAAGCAATATAAGGGAAAAGCACGTCATAGTTTGTTTTTATAAAAAATGCTATTAAGGATAGTACGTATATAAAATAATGTTTATTATTATTACTTTTTTATCAAAATTATTTTAATAATTTATTACCTTTTCTCTACGATTAATACAATTAAAAAATAACAATATAATTGATAAAAAAATAATTAATGTAATTTTAATATTTAAAAAATATATATTTATAAATAACTTTTTTCTACAAACATGTCTATGACAAAATTATTATTATTTTTTTCATGTATCAGATATAGGCAATTTCATGATTGTGAACAAAAAAGGTATTTTAGTATGCAAAAGTGAAATATATTTTACTTTGCTCAACAAAAAAAATGTATATTATATATTGACTATAAATAGCCATAGTATTTAATATTTTTTTAAGTTAAAAACGTGATAAATGCCGAACGAAAATAATAGTACATTTTTTATATGGCAAAAGAAAAAAACATGAAGGAAAACTAAACACGAGTAAATTTATAATTAGGGTTAGAAAATGATTAGGGTAGAGAAAGTGTTGTAGATAAATTTATAAGCCTAATCAATAGCCTAAAAATACCCTTCTTAATTACCCAAGAGTTATATCATATATGGACATATTTTACAATTTTTTTCATAAAGTAGAATAAGAAAATTAACAAAACAAGTAAATTTCTTCATAATATACAAATATAAAAAAATACCATTTAAAAGGTTATATTAGATCATTTTTACAAATTACATTATGAATAAATTAATTTTAATTTTATGGAGAATTTTATTTTATTTTTCTTCTTTCATAAAAATACTAATGGAAGCTTGTTCAAACATACTAGTAATGTTTGTTTTAAAAACAAAATTACAAATATTTTCAGAGATAAAGTGAAAAATAAATAAATATTTTTTTTCATAAATTATGAATAAACTTATAAGAAAATTAAGAATAAAAAATTAGATATAGTATATAATATATAGAAGTGATAAAATAGTCCATAAAATCGATATAGAAAAAAAATAGTAACTTAAACTAAAGTGATTAACTTGACTAATTGATTTAGTTCGTTGGGTTAAGTTAAAATTTAGGTTGAATTTACATATTAAATCAGTAGATTTAAAAGTTTAAATTAATATCATTTGCGGTTTAAAATTTATAAATATTTTTTAACTTTTTTAATTTAAACCAAAATATTTTTCAAAATTTTAAAAAATATATTTTTATCTTAAATATATTTTTAAAAAAATTTTATTTTATTTTTCTGTCTAGCAAATTTTTTTATCTCAAATTCGATAACCTTTCTTAGGTAGATCGTTATTGTCGGTTTGAAATTGAATTACAATAGATTGAATGCGAGGAGCCACGTTTGGATGAAGAATTAAATTGCAAATTTAAAACGTGATTTTAATAAATTGCTTGTCCACTTAATAATTCATGCAATGTGAGTTCCCAAATTACTTTTAATAAATAGTAATCAATTTCACCTTTTAGATTAAACGTATAAGTGTGAAGCTTAAGTTCATAAAAAAAATTAATTAAAAAATATATAAAAATAAATCTAAACACATATTTGAATTCCAAATAAATGGTAAAACATGTTAAAATGACCAAATCCTTCACCATTCTAATAAGAAATGTAATTAATAGTCAACATCAAATTGTGGTCCATGATAAACCTTATGTGTTACTTGGTTACATGAAAATGTGAAACCAAAATGTTGCTTTCTTTGTTCTTTCAACATTTATGATGTAACAAAAATAGCATCCTCTTTTGTCTTTGTTGAAGGTGAGGTAGCAAGCTAGGGCAAAGATGAAGGTGGGCCTATAAGTGGTAAGAAAATGATGGAGGGTTTGATGAATCAAACTTTTCCCGTTGAGGTGCCTTTGTCCCTTCTCTTGTGGTTAGTGTTCTTCACCCAACCACAACCTTTCAATTTTCTACTTCCATACACCTCTTTAATAAAAAGAAAAAACTAGGTTAGTTTTTCTTCTATCAAATTTAATTTTTTACCTTTATAGTTTTTGTTCTTAAAAAAATAATATAAATATTTCGAGTTAATTTCCAAATTCTGATGAATGGAAAAAAAAATTCCACCGATACTTTCATGTTCAAATAAATATATGAATATCTCTGTAAACCTCTTACAGTGAGTATTGATGAATATTCAACATAATTATTTTCGTGAAACATTTTCATTAAGATAATAATTTTCGCATATACATTTAAAAAAAATCTCAAATTTTGAAAATAAATTATTTATTTTATCAAATGTGTGACATGTGATTAAAAAATAAATTTATATTATTAAATGGTTATTAAATAGTATATATTTAATCTTAACATAGTATATTTCAAAAGTTGAAATATTTAATTATAAGTTTAAAAATATAAAAAATATTTTTTATTACACTATCGTTAGTATTTATCAACATTTTAGATAATTAATCTTGTTAGAGAACCTACAAACCATTTTTAATGAATTTGTATCCCTTCTAACACTTATTTTGGTTTATAAAATTTGGACTTTAAATCTTATTTAAGAAAATTGTAATACTTAAAATATTTATCCATTAAAGAAAAACATGTCTAATAATTTCTAATAAGATTTTTCTTCTCAATTAACAATATTTTCACCAACAAAAATCAATATTAAAGACTTTCCTTAAAAAAAAATCTAATATAACACATCCTTTTAATTTTCTTTCTTTTGATCATGAAAGAGAGAAAAAAAAAATGGCACATCATGGGACGGTGGCACATGAGTGTTCCTGTCTCTGAGCACATGTCACAGTGCGTTTCCACTCAACATTGTTAAACATGTTCCGAATCTTTTGCCTTCTACATTACCTACAATTGTGTTCTTTTTTTAGTGTTCGAAATTAGTTTCTTCTAATTACATTACGTGGAATTTGGTCAATTTAAAACTTACCATTTTTTTTCTTTTACAAATTTAATATATATTCTAATTTAAAAAAAAATCATAATTTTGTGAAAGTGGTAGGACATGGTAGATAGTAGGAGTGTAATTTAGTAGGGGAAGAATCATATCACATAGTCGTTAAAGGGGTTGTTGGTATGCTTTTTGGTGTGGAAAAAGAATCCAATTCCACAATCATTAGCATAACTTTCTCTTTGCAATTAATTGATGATTTTGAGCATGTCCCATTTAAAAGAAGAAAAGGCAACAAAATATCAACATGCTCAATCACTACCTTATCTTTGCCTCGTGCCACCATGTTAAAGTATATTGAAGTTAATGCATACGATGTTTCTTTCGAAATTTTTTTCTTAAGAATATTTTCAGGTACATTTTCCACAAAATTTCTTTACATTAAGAATGATAAATTTTTAAGTTGAAATCTTTTCATTGTAACAAGAAATTAAATTGTACATGTTGTAACGTATATATAATGTTTAAAATCTAAGTGTGTTATAAAAATTATTATGATTAATTAAAAGTTACTCTAAAAAGTATTTTTTATTATCATTTTGGATAAAATATTATTTATTTAGACTTGTTAGTCTAACATATATTTAAACCATACAAAATGATATGAAATAAGTGATGTGAGACTTTCAACACACCCTCCAACGAAACCTGCATGACTGCATAAATGGTACTTTTGACTCAACTAAAGCAGTAACTTTTGGCCATGATAATAACCTGGAAAGATGTTAGAGCTTTGACTCGATACCACGTTAAAGTTCCATCATAAAACCAATCGAAAATATGCTAAGTAATTCAATATGTATTTAAACCATACAAAATAATACGAGTGTAGACGATGTGATACTTTCAACAAGACTTAAAAAAAACATGTTAAAAGTCTCGCTTAATCTATTTTATATGATATGTTTTAAATATATGTTAATTTTTGATATATTACTAATTAATTTTTATATTAAAAATATGAATATGGATTTCAGAAATTGTCATCAAAATCATCCTAACAAAAATCTAAAAAAGTGTATTGATGGTGCAATTTTGGAGTGGTTATGCATGGGAACATTCGTGGCTTTGAACACATGACGCACCACTTGATTTTCTCCTGGAATTGGAACCCACACAACACCACAACATAAAATTTGTACATTCGTTTAGAGTTGATAATTGCCTATTGTCGTTAAAGATAGGTTGGTGGACCGATTCACATAAATTCTATACATTATTTTGTCCTACCTATCCGTATAAATGTAAGTGGGTGGAGAGACATTTTCGTTCATTAAAAAAATTATGTAAATAATAATTTATAATGATTTTATAACGTATTGGAAAGAGTTGTATTATTTATCTTAATATATTTATTAGTTACTTCACTTAATAATAATAATAATAACAACAATAATAATAATAGATTTTAACTTGGAAATTTAATATGATATTATATTATTTGTAGTCTAATTTATTATAATAAATGTTTTTTTATAATCAACTTGTTCTTAGATAAAATTTCACGTTATCTATTTCAATTTTTTAAATATAATTTATACAGTATTAATCCTATATGTCTACCATAATAAATATACAATATATATTAAATAAATCCTATAAAAATCAATATATAACTAAAAAACAATAAGTTGCAGAGGAAAAACATATGACCTAATTGTCTAGTATTATCTCACTTTCAAAGAAAATAAATTAAATTCATTTATTTTTCTTAAATGTATGAATTCAAATATAAACAAGAATTTTGTGATGAAACTGCAAAAATGACAGTGTAACATCAATTTGGTGTGACTAAAAGTATGGTGGACCACCCTAGTTACTGCCAACTTGGTCTGCACCCTAGAAAATGAAAAAAAAAAAACTTTTTAATCAAAATATTTTATAATTTAAACTAACTTCAATAATATATATATATATATATATATATATATATATATATATATATATTATTTTTATACACCCAAGGAAGACAAACCCCTGTTACAAACTGAAGAGGAAACAATCGAAACGATAAGTTCATAACTTAGTCTAAGAAATGTCAAAATAACTTCTGTGACAGTCATTATGCCATGAATGAAATGTGCATTTCTAATGCCATAAAGTTTTTGAGGATGTTATTATGATGTTGACCCACATGAACCATTTTTCATAATTGTTCCAGTAACTTTCCATAAAGTTTTACCAAAGCACAAAAGCAACCTACATTAATTATTATTTTTTTCTAAAATATCTTTAATTAACTGACCCGTTTTTACTAATAAAAATAGTAAATACTAAAATGAATGACACAAGATTTTCCTCTAATATAATTTAAGAATATAACTACTCACTTTACTTAATATAAATTAGTGTTTAATTTATTAATTTTGAATAATTTAACTAATTTTCTTAAAAAATGTGATGAGAGTAAGACCCATCTAAAGTCCATAAAAAACCATAAATAGCTATTTGCTTCCTACATCCCATGATTATTTTTTTCTTTCTTTCTTTCTTTTATTTGTTTAACTTTATTCTAATTTTATAAAAACTTGCATTTTATTATATAAACTTGATTAATTTTTTAAATAAACCAAATAAACAACTACATTACAATGTTTTATTATAGGATGCTACAGATAATATATAAAATATTGTATAAAATAGGTTTTCACGTTCTTCTTCTAGACTAATAAGTTAAACTTCCAAAAAAAAATTAATTGGAGATGAAATAAAATGCCTATCACACCTGATTTTATACATGCCAATTACTTTAATAGTTATAAGAATATTATATATTAAAATATACTAGTCAATTAAGTGTAAATAAATAGTTATATATATATATATATATATATATATATATATATATATATATATATCATTATTCATAACTAAATAGTTAATATTTTTGTATGCGAAAGTAATAAGTATATTATAAATATTATTAATATAACTTATTTTTAATATATATTTATTATTTATATTTATTTAAATTATTTAAATATATGTTTTTTTTATTTTAGTTTTATAAACTAAAATATAAAAAACAATAAAATATTATTTTTGTATTTATTATTTTAATGATACAATAACTCAATCCGATCTATATAGATTAAGTTGAGTTTTATTTGCGATTATAATAAATCTAACTTAATATCAATATTTTTATTAGATTGATAATCGAATTGAGTAATAAATCGACTAAATCTTACACATATATATATATATATATATATATATATTTATTTATTATTATTATTATTATTATTATTATTATTCTGCGTTTCTTATTTAATTTTTTAGAGTTTTAAAAAATTAAAAAGAATCCTAACATTTGAATTTTTTTATCAATTTCAAGCATTTTTAATATTATCAATTAACTATTAAGAACTTAATTGATTTTTCATCCGTTTTTATTAAAATATAATCATCATGTTGAAAAAGCAGTTTTTTCTAATTATAAAGAAGCTTAGTTAAGTTTATGATTATAATTGAGGAATAATAGTTTACAATCGTATTCTTATATTTTATTAAACTTAACATTTTATTTAAAAAATATAAAATAAAATAAAAATGTTTGATATTTTAAATATAAATACATTTCATTCTACTATGTTCCATGGAAACAAGGTTTGGTACGTGTCTTACATGCATGGCTTTACTCTTTTCCTCATCATTTCTGTCAACTGCTACAAACCATCATCATTCTTTTCTATTTAATGTCTACTTAATGCTCATTTAATACCTATTAATTAACACCCTAAGTATCATTAATTTTCTAAATGAACCAGATTATAGAACGTACTTTTCTTAATGAATGAGATTATAGAAGGTGATTTTATCTGCAAGCGGTGGCACTGTTCTCAACCATCAATTAATACTCTCGTTAATAATTGTCATGTACAGACATTATCAACATATATGCATATAATTACCAAAATTTCCATTTACTACATCTTAAACATATGTAGTTTTTATTAATAAAATTAAACAAATTAAAATTATTATTATTATTATTATTATTATTATCAACTATATATTATGAGAATACTGTAGAGTTAATTTTTTATTTTGATTTTAAAATGTAATTTATTATATATGTTTCATCTTTAAAACGTTTCTTAATAATTTAAGAGAAAAATATATATATAAATTAATTTTTAACTCTAAATAATGTGATATTCGTATCGAAATAATTATTATATTATTAAAAATAATTATTAGATATATATATTAAGAAAATATTTAATGAAATGTTAAAGAAAAGTAGGAAAAAAATATTTCATTGTATTAAATAGTATCAACAAAAACATATTGAAAAAAATAAAAGAATTTATTTATTTATTTATTGTTATATTAAGTAACAATAGACAGTAAATCTGTTTTGTGCCTGCAAATTAAAAAGAAATTAGTTAGCCTAAATACATTTTATTTCTTTTATTTCATTTTAGAAATATAAATCATCCTTCGTTTTCAATAAAAAGGTTTTTTAAAGGTTTCAACCTATTTGCAACCCCTCCTAAATTACCAAGTTTCGATTTTGATCCTTGAATTTATTTTATTTATTTTTCATCTTATAAAGTTTTAAATCAGTGTTTTTAATTAGTCTTTATGAAATATGTAAATTATTGGTTTCAGTCTTTATACCTTTTTTTTTAATTTTATTTTCATCCGTTCAAAATAGAAAATGTTTCTCCTTAGATAAATATTATTTATTTTATAAATCTAAAAGAGTTATTACATGTTATCATTATATTTGAAATAGTTTCTTGAACTTTTTCTAATATATAAATAGTTAACTAGTTTTATATAATACTAAAAATAAAATAAAATAAAAAGCATTAAATTAAAAAAAAAAGGATTTTTTTTACAGGAATTAAAATCAAAATTCATTTCGGTTTATGAAGACTTAAAATATATTTCAATTTTTTTTAAAATGTTATATACATGTATATAATTTGGACCTATGTATATATATATGGCTCTAACATATTCTCTATAGCAACACAACTTTTCAAAGATCTTTGAGAATGGCCTTTAATCTTATGCTTTTGTTCTGTTTTGTTGCAGTGATGAACAATGAAGTTGTTCCAAGCACTGCAAGGAAACTCACGAGTGCTACCACTTCAGCTGATGAGAAACAAGTGGTAACTAGCACTGGAAACAGAGAACATCATCACAAAGCAGAAGCAGATCCAAGAAGCAGCTATTACGTGGAAAAGAAAGAAGAAAAATACGACAAAAACCAGCTTTTTCCACCCATGTTTCCCTACCCATATCCATATTCTTTTCCATTTCCACGTCCATTGTTTCCACGTCCCTTTCCACTTCCATCACCATACGTTCCAGGGTTTCCATGGCCAGGAGACGTTCCTTCATTTCCATTTCCTCCTGTAGGAATCACTGATGCTTACTTCCCTGCTCATTCTCCACCTACCTAATAATTTGGGTTCATGCAGAAATCCACTTGCTTTCTATGTTCTTAGGGTTTGCTTAAAGTTTTCTGCATGGTGTGTGTGTTTATGTTGTTATTTTGAAAAAAAAAAAAAAAAAGAAACACGTGTTTGATTTGAATAAAACATGTTTCAGTTTATGTTGAGGTTAATTACTAGGAAGCTTTTATGATTAGCTTTCTTTAATGGCTTTCTAGCTCTTGTACTTTCTTTTATCATGTCTAATAAACTGGTGTTGTTGTTATTGTTGTTTTATTTTTAATAGTCAGTCGTGATTTTTAAATTCTCTCAAAGTTTGTGGATCGTTGAAAATGGTGAACACTCTGAAGTTGATTGATGAAAATAATGAATAAATAACAAAATTGTGAAGAAAAATTATTGATTTATTGTGCTGATAAAGTATATTAATAAGTATTATGATTTGAATAATTATTTTGTTAATAATAACAGTAATAATTTGTTGGGTCCATTTTTTATAATGCCAGAACAGAAGGTATTTATGAGAAACAGAAGAATATTGATGAAACACAAAATATCTTGCAGAAAACTGAAACAGGAATAAAAAGAATAATGGAGACTGAGGTAGTGACAGAAAAAACAGGGAAATATTCTTACACGTGTTAAGAGAGGTTTATCATTATAATTATATATATATATATATATATATATATATATATATATATATATATATATATATATATATATATATATTCGTGACTTAGATTTAAAAATGATATTCATGAATATCAAATATCTACGATAGAGAAAATAAAATTATTATATATACCAATAAAACATGTGTTATAGGTGATTTTACTTTCAATCAAGTTTTACAATAATTACCATCAATGAACTCCTTCCAAAATTTGAAAAAATGGAATGGATTAAATAAAACAATTATAACCTAATTTCTAATTGAATTGTTTTTTTTCCCACTTATTTAATTTGTGGTAGAAATAGGTTTAGGTTGGTTTGGAATACCAAATCCAAAAATAATCTACAAAAATTGAGAAGCCAAGGTAACGTCAAATCCAAATTAAAGAGAAAAAACAAAGTTAAATGAAGAAAAATATTTAACAAGACATCATTTTATAGTTGTTAAAAAACATAATGGTAGTTAAAATTTGGACTTCGTGTTTGCAATATTTTCTCCATGTGAAATTGAATGAGACAAGCCTAAAGAAAATGGTGGTGTTATAGAAGGAAAAAAATAAAGACACAGTGGATGGAGGCACAAGTGGAAGAGTTGGGAAGAGGAGGCAGTTTGGGGAGAGGTGACAACACTGGAAGTGAAAATCCTTGGAGAATCGAGAGACCCACCAAATGATTGTTGGAACGATGGTAACAAAGGGTTGGGAACATATATAGGGTTCGAGAATAGTTATGCGAATGAAGATAGATTTGTCACAAAATCCTCTGTCGTATAGAAACATAAGTTAATTACAAAAATACAGAAGAATAATTCAAATCTTTTTCATGACAAAATTGCATAACGATAATTTATTTACAAGAGAAAACAAATTAAATGTAATAGTATTAACTGTACTATTTTATTTTAATTTTAACTTAATTTCTAACATTTCTTCTTAAGTCAAAATTCTAATAATATCAATTAAATCTCTTATATTCTTGAATCTCTTAGCTTTTAGAGCCTTAGTAAACACATGTTAATTGTAGTTTAGATGTGTAATATTCAACTTTAAGTTTTTTATTCTTGACTTGTTCATACAAGAATTGAACTCTAGTCTCAATATGCTTGTTTTGTTTTTTTTACGAGAGACAGAATGTTTAGTCAAATCTATTGCACATTTGTTTCTCCACAAGATTTTTTGGTTGTTGAACCAATTATGCTTTTAACTCCTTTAACTTGTGATGTTGTTATATATTTAGCCTCACAAGATAACAATACTACTACAGGTTCTTTTGTTGAATTCCAAGATACTGGTGCGTCTCCACAGTAAAACATACATATACTCAACAATGTTTTTTCTACCCTCCTTATCCCCACACCAGTCATCATCCGAGTAACCGATTAGTTCCAACCCTCCTTCTGATTTCTTCTGAGGAAAAAGGACGCCATAATCATAGGTACCATGTAGGTATCTTAGTATCCTTTTGGTAACATTTATGTGAGACAATTTTGGTTCTTGCATGAATCTACTTAGACCAACTCCATAGTTCAATCAAGTCTAGTGTTGCACAAATATCTCAAACTTCCCATAATCTTTCGATATTCAGTGTGATCAACTTGCTCTTCACTTGTTTCTTTTCCCAACTTTAGCCATTCTCCATTGGTGTGACAACAAAATTACAATTATGCATTTCAAATCTGAACATCAAGTCTCTTGCATACTTGGTTTGATGCATGATGGTGCCAAATTTTGTGTGTTGAAACTCAATACCAAGGAAATAATTGAGTTCCACGAGATCATTCATTTCAAACTCATTTAGTATTTGAGTTTTGAACTGAGTAATCAAGTCTATCTTGCATCCGGTAATTAACAAAGTATCTACGTAGAGACATATAATGAGCTTATCTACCTTGTTATCATGGTTCTAACACTTTACATACACACCTCTCAAAATTGATTTTTTGCAGAAAAGTGTCAATCTTGCGATTCCAAGCTCTTGGAGCTTGCTTGAGTCCATATATAGAGCCTTGTTTAGCTTGTACACCTTGTGTTCTTACTCCTTAACTTTAAAGTCTTGTGACTGTACCACATAAACTTCCACTTCAAGAGGACCATTCAAGAAAGCAGATTTCACATCTAGTTGGTGTATGGAGCAATTTTCATAGGTTGCAATAAAAACAATGATGCGTACGGTTTCAATTCTAGCCACTGGACATATATCTCACCATAATTTATTCCAACTTTTTGCAAAAACCCCTTCGTCACAAGTCTTGTCTTGTGCCACATTATCTCACCTTTAGGATTCGCCTTCACCTTGTAAATTCATTTTAGTGCTATAGGCCTCTTATTTGGAGGTAGATCAACAAGTTTCCAGGTTTGATTCCTTTCTATGACATCAATTTCTTCCTTCATGGTTGTCAACCAATTTTCATTCTATATAGCATCATTAAATTCAACAAGTTTTGCTTTGGCTATTAGTGCAAAGTGCACAACATTTCCTTCAGTTGTGACTGCTAAATCATTGAACATTTCATAATACTGGAAACATGTAGCTGACTAACTAATTCAATGAGATCTCCTTACTTGTTAATTAGTTGATCCCTCTTGGTCTGAGGCATTTTCAACTTTTGCAGTTTCATCTTTTAGAGAAATTGTGGATGCAACTCCTTTATCACCAATTTTCCAATTCCAGCATGAGTTTTCATCAATAACAACATCCCTACTAATTGATCCTTTCCTGTTTTGAGATAAAAAAACTTATATCCACCTGTTGAATGATAGCCAATCAAGACTAGAGGTATTCCTTTGTCATCCAATTTCCCTTTTAGCTGATCTGGCACATGCTGGAAGCATAAAAAGCTAAAAATCCTCATGTTTGCAACATTTGGCTTATGCTCAATCCAAGCCTTTTCAGGGATTATACCATTTAGCCTCTTGGTACGTGATTTATGTTGGAAAATTAATAATAATTATAATCCTGATTTTGATTCTAACTATTAAACAAAAACATTATCCCATACTCATAAACATGTTGTAAATTGAATGCGAAAGCATACCTGAATTAACCATAATGATGATATCCTTGTAGAGCACTATTGATCTTATGATCTTCCACCTGAAGAGCACTTGTATTTCCCTCTGGATTTTCTCTCTTGATGGGGATAGAAAAAAAAGAAATGGGAATGAGACTAACGTTCTGTGTGTGTGCTCCTAGAAGGGGACCATGACCCTTTAAATAACCAGAATTAGGTTAATTACTTAAGTTTTAGTATTTTTAATTTGACCCCTCATCAAATTAGAAATTGTTCTATGGTCTTTACACAATTTTATTTTCATAACATATGCCTTTAGCCAAACATTTTTAATTTAGTCAGATCACTTTATTATTTGACTTAATAAATAATGGTCCTAACACATTTAAATTATGTATCATATATATACATGATCCAATATTTACCAACAATCTCCCACTAGTCACAAATATATATGTCCTTACAACCTTACAAATGTGTTAGACTTTATGAACTCAAAATTGCCATTATATTCTTTTAAAAGTCTCGTTCATTGATTATATTGGGATATAGAACCAAAATAGCTTTTCATTGCATAATCGCAACTAAAACCAACAATGATTACTAATCCTGACATAACCAAATGACATGAATTCATCATAAAATGTGTAGCATGAAAAATTATGTGAAGATGATCTGTACACGTCTATTTTCAAATTGTCTAAACTTTTAACTTATCGAGATCGATATAATAACCTTAATGTACAAAGTGTAATGAATGAATGAAAAACCGCATATCTATAGACAACCAAATATATCCAAAAAATCAATGTATACATACATGAAATTAAACATAAAACATAAAATATATGAAAATGACTAATTCTCACTAAACACAAATTCCTCAAACTGTAAAACACCCATATGAGAAACATGCTCATGAAAGACCTTGGGCGAAAGTCCTTTAGTTAGAGGATCTGCTATCATGGGGGTTGTCCCTAATTGTTCTATGGAAATCTGTCCACTCTGTACTCTTTCATTAACAATACAGCTTGTTGTCACAATATAACTTAAGTGATCTTTCAATGCCTTTCATAATTTTCAGCCCTGTGACCAAATTTCCCAGTCATATTCCATGATTTGATGCTTCATAGGATGCTACAAATTCTGTTACCATAATGGATGAAGCTGTAAGGATTTTCTTGACACTGCACCAAGAAACTGCACCACCTGCCAACATGAAAATGTAACTTGAAGAGGATTTCAAACTATCTTGACATTCTGCAAAGTCTGAGTCAGAAAACCTAGCGATCTCCAACTAATCTGACCTCCTGTATGTGATCAT